GACCGACCAACCAACAACCGAAATTCACAGGTGTGGAAACAAGCCACGTTACGTTTTGTAGGGGTCTACGACGAAGGAATAAAAATATATGACAAGCTACGCTATAAGGATGTACATGTAACATGAGTAGAGAAAGTTAACTCGTGTACGAAACCTCTAAACAACGAGGAAAACACCTCGAACTCAACAGGACTGAAAAACGACTGATACACTGTGTACGGGAGTGCAAAGTGCAGGAGCAGGTCGGACTCTCGTGGAAATCAAAAATCCATGATAAGCGGTACGAATCTGCAATTACAGAAACGCGAAAACCGAAATTAATAAAAAATAAATCTGCACTGCGCAGGGGTGTACAAATCCTCCCACAAGAACAACTAGCTACACGGAACAGAAGCGAAGCGAATAGTTGCTCACCTAGTCAACAAAGTCCCCGCCTTTATGGGACCTGAAAGTTCATTGTTGTAATCAAAAACAAACAGCACCGGTCTCTGTCCTGAGATATATGAACACATTTCGCACTCACCCAACCTATTTCTTTATTATACATTTTAATATTGTTCTTCCGTCTACATTTAGATGTCCATGCCGACATTCCGACTGAACTCCTACATACACTTCTCATCTCTCCCATCCGTGCTGTATGCCTTGCCACTCTAACCCTTCCTTTGATGATCCCAAAAATATTATGTGAATAATTCGAAATGTGGATATTCTGGTGAGATTTCAGTTTCTCACTGAAGCAAGAATGAAGATGACTGTCTTCTGAAAAGAAGAAACTGACCGACGTTTCAGAGGCGCTCACTGCCTCCATCATGAAGGGGATGATCAATCTAACGATGTAGGCGGTAAGCACCTCAAAAACGTCGGGCAAATTTCTAGAGACTACGCGTCGAACATATCAGAAGATACGTACGGAGCTCCTTACTGCAACAAACAAGATCAACACCTGTAAAAACAAATCATACGGAATAAAAAGCGCGATAGTTAGTGCAGAATGTTCAAGTGTCTGGTATGTAGTCTACGGCACAGCCACAAAACGATCTGCAGGCTTACGAAAAGTAAAACGCGACCCGTAAGAACAAGCGAACCAACCGAGTCAGCTCAAACAATGGGCACGCTTTGGTTTACTGGATCGTTCAGTGGGTTAGTAACCTACAGGTTAACGAATGCACTGAACTGGGAATAGAGGGAACAGTTTCCGCAACTAGAACTCCCAGCATCCGCG